CCCCTCCAAGCTCGTGGGGCGCCATTGCTTTGGGAAGGGAGCTGGTGCGCAATCAGCAGGAGGCAGGGCCCCCTCGCGGCTGCAGCTGGGTCGGTGGGTGCGTGGCCCTTGCACAAGTCACTCAATGGCCCTGCCCCGCATCTGCGGAGACAATGACAATGCGTCCCTTTGGGTGCGGCGCTGGGTGGCATGTGCTCAGGGCACTGTCCCTGCCCCTCCGTTTGCGAGGAGTATTGACCCATCCATGCCTCTTTACATAACGTCCCTTATGTCCTCTATTGCCACGGTTTTATCAGAGGACTCGGAACCTGTTCGTGTCTGGTTTCTCTCTTTGCAAAAATGTTGGTGGCTTTCCTTCCTTAAATACTCGCTTAGTAATTACCCGTCAAATCATCTCAGCCTGGAGGGATTTGTACTGTTTTGTGCTTTTCCCACCAAATGTTTTATTAAAGTAAATATTTTGCTAGTAGATATAACAGAAACACCTCACATTGCTTCTTGTGGAGTGAGAAGCTCCTCACAGCTGCCCCTCTAGTGCGGTGTCTAAGGCTGTAGATCTTGTAGGAGGAAGGAGATTGCCCATCTTTCCCGTGCAGAGCACCTAGTGGAGTCAATCCATCAACCTCTCAGTTGGTAGCTAGCTTGTTTCTCTCGCGGTCGACTCAGAACAGACTGCTAGCCCATCACCCACTCAAGTCTTCAGAGGTAGGGGATCCCAGGGGAGGAGATTGCCAGTCGTCCGTATTCAGCTCTCTGTCAGATTTGATATTTTACTTTTTCCACGCAAGGAATTTGTCGATTTTATGTAACATGTTGAAACTCTTGGCACACGGTTGTGCATACTCTTCTCTCATTCTCCACGCCCACCCCACCCCTAACCCCGTGTTTATGGTCTGTAATGATAGCCTTCGTTCCTGACCCTAGTGGTTTGGGGGTCTCTCTTTTTTTTCTTGATTAGTGTTATTAAGAATTTATTCATTTCGTTGTTCCCCCCCAATTGATGTTTTTCTCAATAATCTGTTTTCTGTTGTGGCAGAGAATGTCATACAGATACTCTGTATTTTTGCTTGTTTTTTTTTTGATCATTTGCATCAACTGATGATACTGACATTCTCCAAGTATAAATATCAAATTGTCTATTTCTCCCTTGTTTCTGAGTTTTGTACGATCCACATTTGCTCTTCTTCTTAAGTCCCCTTTCAGTTTTAGGTCCTATTCAATGCAAGGGACCGTGGAGCCACAGGAGTCAAGTACTCAGTTGCTAATTGTGTCATCAGCAGTTGAAATTGACCAGTGGGGACAGGGGGACGTGAGGTGACACTTGACTTCAGTAAAGGCTTACGACCTTGGATACCCTGGGGAGGTTCTCCTCTGTCCTGATAGAAGTACTGTGAGCCAGAATAGATGGCAGAGACACATGGACAGGCAGAAGGATGGATGGATGGATGGATGGATGGAATGGGTGGGTAGATGGATGGGTTGATGAGTAGGTGGATAGGCGGATGGGTGGATGAATACGTAGGTAAGGGAGGTAGATAGACGGACACAGGTGGATGGCTAAGTAGATGCATGGATGGGTGCAGAGACTGGTGGGTAGATGGGGAGGTAGGCAGATACGTAGGGTTTGCTTTTCATCGACGATTGTTTTCATCTCTGCTTTGTCACTAATGCAGACATCCCCCACCCCCTTTTATGCCTACTCTTAGTAAAGGATATAATTTTGCCTCTTCTTGCTATTGGCATAGATGTGTCTGGCTTTACATGTGAAGGTCATCTTTTCTGGACAGAGAAGACCTCGCTTTTATCCCAGCGACTCTCTCTCCCTTAATCAGAGTGTTCAGTTCATTTAGACTGAAGGTCACTTTGGATATAAATGGAGTGAACTCTTCCTCATATCTCCTGTATCATTTGTTGCTAGTTCCCCCTTTTCCTTCCTGCTCCAACTAATCTAATCGAATATTGCTTAGAATTCCACATGCCTTGAATCCGTGTATTGCCTTTTCCCTTGGTATCACTGTTATCCATAATTTATTGTGATCCACACAGTTTCTTTGCATAGATAGGTGGGTATATGTGTAGGTAGGTGGATGGATGGACATAGAGGTAGGAAGGTATGTTTGTAGACAGACAAGTGTGCTATTGAATTTAGGAAAATTGTGAAAGGAAAAAATGTGAAAGATGTGTATCTAGGTCGTATCCTGTCTTTCTGCCTTTTTAGGTTTAAGCTGAGTGAGTCACTGGGGAAGCTGAAGTACATTAAGAAGAATGTGGCAATAGAATCTGAAGAAGACTCAACTGCTTGCTTTATGCAAACGATACAACCTTGCTTGCAGAAAGTTAAGAAGCCTTGAAACTCTTACTGCTGAATCTCAGCAACTACAACTTGGTTTACAGGGATTATATCTCAAAATCAAGAAAACAAAAGTCTGCACCACTGGACCAATATGCAACAATATGGAGAAAAGATTGAAGTTTTCAATTATTTCATCTTACCCTGGTCCACAATAACACAGTGTAACAACAGTCATGAAAACAAAAGAGGTACTGCTTTGTGGCAATCTGATGTCAAGGATCTTACCAAAGTACTGAAGATCAACGATGCCAGTTTAAAGACTCAGATGCGAGTCATCCAAGCCAAGATATTTTTGATTGCTTCCTATGCATATGAAAATTTCACAGTGGCTCAGGAAGACAGAAGAATCCATGCTTTTGATTTTGGTATTGGTGAAGGTTAGTGAATAGCTCATGAATTGCTAAAGAGTAAGTCTGTCTTGTTTGAAGTGCAACTGAAGTGCTCCTTAGTGGCAAGGATGATGAAACTATCTCACATACTTTGAGCATATTTTCAGGAGGTACCAGTCTTTGGAAAAAGACATCATGCTGAGAAAGGTTTGCAAAAGAGAGAAAGACTCTCTGCATGATGATTCGACACAGTGACTACAATTGTCGGCTTGGGGAAGGCAGACTGAAGAAGTCTCAGGTTAGGATGAGGCTCTGATCTGTTGTTCATGGGCTTGTTATGTTTTGTGAGTTGACTCAATGGCACTTAACAACAATAACAACACTGGCTTTCTAGAGTTCCGGTGCCATAGTGAATAATGTGGTGACTTGCTAACCAAAAGTTCAGAGATTTTACTTGAGCATCTCCTCCCTGGGAGAAAGATGGGCTGTCTCATCGTAGAAAGATTTATTGTTGTTCTTGTTTCTAGGTGCCTACAAAGTGAGTACAGCTCATCATAGTGACCCTATAAACCACAGCCTGAATGCTGTCCTATCCTGTGCCATCCTCATCATCGCCAGCATACTTGAGGCCATTGCTGCAGTCACTGAGTCAGCCATCTAGTGAGGGTCTTCCTATCTTTTGCCGACCCTCTACTTTTGCAAGCATGATATCCCTTTCCAAGAAATGGCTTCTCCTTACAACCTGCCCAACATATGTGAGACAAAGCTTTGTCCAAAGAATACTCTGGCTGCACCCTCCCTAAGACATACGTGTTTGTTCTCCTGGCCGTCCATGGGATATTCAGTGCTTTTCTCCAACACCACAGCTCGAAGGCATCATCAGCTCTTATTCTGTCATTCATTGTCCAGATCTTATGCGGTAATTCTGTGACCTAAAGGAATTCCTCCAGAATAGCTGTTCCTACCCCCAGCAACCCTTTCTCTCTTTTCTTTCTGGGGGTCCTCCTTTTATTCAGGGCTGTTGTACATAGGGTTGCTATGAGCCGCAGGCGACTCGACAACACATAACAACAACATATCAAGGCGTGTTAGTCCCCATCTCCAAATCCAGGAGTGCATCTTGATTACTTGGGCCCAGTAGATTGTAGAACAGCTCTCAGTGACCCATAGTCCAGATGGCCTGATCCATCTGGCAGAAGACAGTGATATTCCCAGCATGAAGGAGGAACGAGACCAAGTGGGGCAGCCTGAATACAGAGATAAAGCTTGCGATCCAATGCTGCTGGGCCTGCGGAACCCTGAAAAGGTGCTGGAGCCTGGCCCCTCTGCCTGCCAGACCTACTGGCAATGGGTCTCTGAGCCTTGTGGGGAAAGGCTCTCCTTTCCAGTCTGCAAGTCAGCACCCGAGGCAGCAGGGGCGATGAACCGCTCCACCCTCTTGGACCCTGCCAGCCTGAACCAGAGTTTCAGCCCCTCAAGTGTACCCCAGCCAAGGCGGCCAAAGGCACCTTCAAAGATGACCTTCATGAAGGGGATGCTGTGAAATCCCTGCTGAGACTGAGTCAGTGGACACTCGGGTGGATTGGAGCACCCGGCCTTTCGCTGCTCACTGCAATCGTGTGCCAGGCAGCCCACCTCAGGGACTGTTTTAGGAAGAGATGGTGCTGCAATGCTGAAAGGTGGGTGGAGGGGACTGGTGGCCACACTGGGAGGGACAGCCACACTGAGAAGTTCCGAAGCAGGGCAGGCCCAAAGTGGTGGCTCAGCCCTGCACCCCTGGACTGGCTCCACCAGCTCGCTCACTCCCCCACAGCTCAGCTCTGCCCTGGCCTGGGACCTGGCTCCTCCAAGCCGCTTACCCGGGGACCCCTGAGAACCTGCTCAGAGCTGGGCTCACTCCTCGCTGCTCAGCTCCTCCTGCACCCAGTGGAGGACGGAGCTGGGCGTCATGGGGCCAGGTTCCTCGGCAGGAGAGGGACCTCCTCTCCCCAGTTGCATTTGTCTACTTCCCACTCTGGGATTCTGCCAGGACCAGGCCACCATCTCCTTGCCCATGCTTGCACTGGTGCCAGGGCGTGACCACTTTGACCAACAACTGCCAGTGCCCGTGCCAGGACCACAGGCGTATTTTTGTTACAGATAATTGCTTTGTTGGCATCCCTTGTGACCCAGGCCACTGGCCAACCATGTATGTCCCCTTCTCAGACAGCATCTCAGAGCCCCAGCTCTTCGATGTAGATGACGTTCTGCCTGTTGTTCCGTTTGAGGGCGCAGCGAGGGTCCGGAGGGTGCAGAGACGTGATGGAGGGTAGGCACTCACCCTCTGGCACCCACTCTGAAGCCCCTACGCAGCTGTCCGGGAGGCCAGGGAAACGTAGGGTTGAGAGGAGCCAGACCCAGGCCCGTGGAGCACTGGCCCTGTGTCCTCCTGCAATCTGCACATGGTCAGTGCCCCCCCCACCAGCTGCAGCTGCCATGGACATGCAGAGAGATCGACTGACCTTCTCAGAGGCACCCAGTGGGGGAAACTGAGCCCCAGCCACGTGCTCAGCTCTTACTCCACAGTGCTGCCCTGGAGGGCGTCTTGGAGGCAGTGGTCTCAGTCTGCCAGCAGCTGTGAGCTGGACCCCTGGAGAAAGGCAGCAGAGCCAGGGGCTCTGCGGGAGGGGAGCAGACCCCTGAGGTAGGAGGGGACTGGCTGTGGAGCCCAAGGCAGCTGAGCCCGCTGTCCGCACTGTGTGAGCAGGAGAACCTCCAGCCGCCCTGCCTGGTGAGATGAGTTCTGGCCCTTGGGCATGGGGACACAGGGAAGACTGTCACAGGGAAGTCACAGCACTCCTGCCCCAAGGTCCCTGAGATGCCCTCAGGCACAGGCCCTGACACCCTGGACAGGGCTGCTTGGTCCCAATCTCCACTCTGTGGGCCTCAGGGGAGAGGAGAGGTGGGCCATGCCACAGTCACCCAAACTCTAGTGGGGTTGAGGAAGAGGGGCACGAAGCAGAGGGAAGCAGAGCTGTGGAGGAAAGGCTTTGGTCAGTCGTCCTACAGGGCACCAAGCAGCAAAAGCCCCAGAGTGCCTGGTAGAGCCCCCAGCAGGCAACTGGTGCAGCTGGGCAGGAGACAGAAGGGAAAGGACCAGTAGCGTAAACTGGTTATGAAGGGTGGCCCTGCACGGGAAAACAGAGGAGTCCAGTTGCAGTGGGAGTAGAGTAGGACTCATTCCTGCAAACATGGGAGGAGATGAGAAAGGGGGTGAGGGACTGTGTGGGGAAGAGTAGCCCGGGCAGGGGGAACAGCCAGTGCAAAGGTCCTGAGGTAGATGTGACCTGGTGAATAGGAGAAACAGCAACTCAGAGGCAGGTGTGTCTGGAGGGGAGGTGGACTGGCAAAGGACAAAGCCAGTGAATACCTAGTCCTTGTCAACAACAGACTGCACATTTCCTCTGCATAGGACTGATCCCCAGGGAGGGACAAGCCTTCCCCTACGTGTTGGAAGATGTCTCAGTCGCCGCCTGGACCCCCATCCTGACATCAGGATCACCTAGACCCCAGAATTGGCTAGGGGCTGGGGAGGGACTCATCAAAGGGCTTTGCCCACCTGTAGCCTGGCCAGCTGGCAGTAGGGAGTTAGACTGGGCCACACCAAGGGAGGAGTCCCAGCTGGACCTGGAGCAAGGCCACGCCTCCTCCTGCCTGGGTTGTGGGTCCTCGGATTCCCTCCTCCGGTCATCCACTGGTGAGTGGCAGGTGATTAAGCCTAGCAGAGACAGGTGTGACTGGGAGGAGCCTTGAAGTCTTGAACTTCTTGGGCCTCGGAAAAAAAGTAGGCCGACTGTAATGATCTTGCCTGTTCCTGTTTGTACTTGGAAACCCCCATTCTCCCCGAGCTGGCCCAGCAGGACTGCAGACTCTGTCTCTTGGTTGGTTGGTTGGTTGGTTGGTTGGTTGGTCGGTCGGTTGGTTGGTTATTTCTCTGGTCCAATATCACCATCTGGTGGTAGGTAGATCGAAAGAAAAACTACTAAGATGTCCCCTGGCTCGTCAGTTTGCTGGAAAGAACACAGGCGCACTCTCGCTCTCCTCTCTCCTCTCTCCCGTAGAGGGAGCGGCCTCGTGGACAAGCCTCCTCGCGCTGAAGGGAGCTGGCGAGGGGACCCATCCAGAACTGAAGCTGCACAGGAAGTGGGGTCTGGCTCCCTGATTCTCTGTGCAAGTGGGTGGAGCCCTTCCTGTGTCACCTCCCCTCCCATTAGCCCAGCATCCTGTAGCAGGGAGAGTGAACTTCAGCACCCGGCCAGCTTTAGCCTTCAGCTTGGCCTCAGCTCCAAACCTGCCAGAAGAGGCGCTATCCTTCTGAGTTTTGCCTTGTGCACCACCCCGTTCCTGCCCAGGGGTTGCTTCTAGAAAACCCTGGGTCAGGTGTAGCTGTTACTTTGCAGTAGGGTCTCTGAGGACAAGGCATGGCATGTCTTTCTTCTTGGGATTTGAAATGACTTTTTTTCTTTTTTTTCAAAATAAGGCTGAACTAGCTGGACTAGACACGGGCATATATTTTGATGTAGCGCTTATCCAGCCAGGAGCCCAGCTGGAGCCAGGCAGGACCCATGCATTTCAGCACAAGGACAGCGACTTTGCTCTTCCGGTCTAGAGATGCTGCTATTGGTGCTAAATGAAAGGGCTTCCTGGCTGCCTCAGTGCTGGGTTGTGATGTACAGGACTGGCTTCTCAGGGACAGAAGCCGGCCCAGAGGGCCCCACACCTGACTCAGTGCTGAGGTTAGCTGTGTGGAGCTCACCTGCCTCGTGAGTCTCCTGACAGTGGCAGACCTTGTGTCCAGGAGGACGGCTGGGCTGACTAGCCATGTGCATGGCGATCCTGGGGAGGGAGACTAGCTACCCGACTCTGAGTAGTCATGGCTGGACGTGAGGAAGTTGTGTTCCCTTGCCCTTCTTGGTGTAATGCGCTCCCAGAAGCTAGGTGGCACCTGTCCATGCCTCCAGGGAGGTCACAGATTAGAGGGTAGTATTTCTGTCAGTGAATTCTCTGAGCTCTCACACATCTCAAGGTGTCCTTATGCCATATTCGTTGTTGAAGGTCAGTTTTGGTGGCCACTGTCTTGTGGGTTGATTTGGTTTTCTCCCGGGACTTTACAGAGCCCTCCACGCCCCTGCCTCCCATTGTCTCGTTCCCTCCTGTGTTCTTGTAACTCTGCCTGCTTCCAGGACTTTCTCTTTAGCCTTCTTGTCAGGAGTTTGACTGCAAAGCCCCTCCTGAGGGTAAACTGTCTGGAATCTATAAAATGTGGCTTTCACCGAATTTCAGAAAATTTCAGTCATTATTTCATCAAGTCATTTTTCTTCTCCAAATCTTTCACTCCTCTCCTGGGACTCCAGATACATAAGTGTAAGATGTTTTAATCATCATAAAAAAAAATTACAGTGACTAAGGATGCCTTTGAGTTGTGGTGCTGGAGAAGTCTTGAACATACCATGGACCTCCAAGAAAACAAGAAAGTCTTTCTTGGAGAGTGGGAAACCAAGTTTCTTCTTGGAGGCTAGGATTTTGAAGCTGTGTCTCACATCCTTTGGGCATGTTGCCAGGAGGGACCAGTCCTTGGAGAAGGACATCATGCTCAGAAGGGTGGAGAGACAGCACAGGAGAGGAAGACCCTGGATGAGATGGATTGACACAGTGACTGGCAATGGGGTCAGGTGGGTGGAAGACAGATTGGCTCAAGATAGGGCAGGCTTCAGAGCAATTATCCTTAGGGTCCCTATGAGTCATAGTCGACAGTACATACAAAGAAGAAATTTTACCATTGTTCTTCAACTCACAGAAGTTCTGAGCTCTTTTTTTCAGTGTTTTTCTCTTGGTTTATCAGAATGGATCATTTCTGTTGACCTGCCTTCCAGTCTGTGGCTGTTTTCTGCAGTCTGTTACTGAGACCCTCAAGGGAGCTTTTCGGTGCTGGTCAGGCCTAACGCCTACTGGTGCTTCTCCTCACTACTTTGTTTTTCTCGACTGACATTTGCTGTGCCCGTGGGAACGTTTATAACAGCTGCTTTGAAAATATTGTGCAAACCACAGCATCAGGGACATCAGAGACATTTTCCCTGCAAAGCTTTTCTCTTCATCAGAAGACACATTTTGTCCCGGCGACGGAGATGGAGGATGTGGAAGGCCCCACAGGGCCCCGGCTCCCACTGCAGGGCATGAGGGCTCCAGCCCCAGAGACACAGGGACACTTACCCAGTGGGCCTAGTCTCCACGGGAGACCAGAACGAGGCCTACGGTTGAGGCAGGAAGCTAACCCGGGGGAGGGGGCTGGGCCCAGAGCCAGGTTCATGGGCACACAGATACCTTTTTTAAAAGATATAAATGATGACTTTGCACATGGATCCCACTCCCACCTGATGGGCTGCACAGGAATCAGATTGACTACATAGGTGGAAGAAATCATTGGAGAAACTCAATATCAGCAGTCAAAACTAGGGCAGGGATGGACCATGGATCAGACCATCAGTTCCTCATATGCAAGGTCAAATTGACAATGAAGAAAATGGAAATAAGTTGGCAGAAACCAAAATACGATCTTGAATCCATTCATTCTGAATTTCACGGTCATTTTAGGAGTAGGTTTGAGGCATTAAACACCAGTCATCGAACACCCAGTGAGTTGTGGGATGATATCAAGAACATTATCAATGAAGAAAGCAAAAGGTCATTACAAAAACAGAGGAGAAAAAAAATCAAAATGGATGTCAGAAAAGACTCTAAAACTTTCAACGGAGCATTGAGAAGTCAAAACAAATGGAAAACATGACGAAGTAAGAGTTGACCAGAAGATTTCAAAGGGCAGCTCGGGATGACAAAGCAAAGTATTTTAAAGGAATGTGCAGAGAGTTGGTACTGGAGAATAAAAAGGGACGAACTTGCTCTGTATTTCTCAA